TTTCACGTACTCATTTCGTTCATGTAATTCATTCTCGGTAAAAATAAACCAATTACTTATTTCACGTACTCATTTCGTTCATGTAATTCATTCTCGGTAAAAATAAACCAATTACTTATTTCACGTACTCATTTCGTTCATGTAATTCATTCTCAGTAAAAGAATAAATCAATTACTTATTTCACGTACTCATTTCGTTTATGTAATTCATTCTCAGTAAAAAAAAATTGAATCAATTACTTATTTCACGTACTCATTTCGTTCATGTAATTCATTCTCAGTAAAATAAATCAATTGTATCTTTAGAAATTAATTTTAAATAATTTTTAAAAACACATGTAGGTCTTTCTTTCTAGCATATTAATGTCTATTTCTTCATCTAATTATTTTTTCTTCTATGTGTTAATGCAAAACTAATTTCGTTCATGTAATTCATTCTCAGTAAAAATAAACCAATTACTTATTTCACGTACTCATTTCGTTCATGTAATTCATTCTCAGTAAAAAATAAACCAATTGTATCTTTAGAAATTAATTTTAAATAATTTTTAAAAACACATGTAGGTCTTTCTTTCCAGCATATTAATGTCTATTTCTTCATCTAATTATTTTTTCTTCTATGTGTTAATGCAAAACTAATTTCGTTCATTAAATAAGTATACGACCTCAAATTTAGAAGATTTAATTTTTCCAGGAAATTGTAAACATGATATGTATGGCAAAATAAATTTTATTGATTTACTATTATCGAATTAGTGGTCGTTTTATGTATACTAAGGCACAAAATTTAACTCATTCACTGTGTAACGATGGAAAATACATCAAATACAAATAGTTTGTTATCTTGCCATTCTTTTAATACATTAATTTTGATGGCAAAAAAAAACTAATTATAACATAACGCTTGCCGTTTATACGGCTTTGGGAAATTCTTCTTGTTTGAGTTTGATATTCAAGAAAAGCCACAAGAGTTATAATTTTGAATTGAGAGACTTGATGGAAAGCTGTTAGTCAATAGAACCTACTCTTGGGTTGCTCTAATCAAATAGGGCGATTTAACTGTCACTCGTATAACGCATCCACGGTTTCCACGTAAAAAAAGAGTGATTTTGAGACAACGGGACGCGAACCACAGACTCTCGGTTTTATAGTTCAACACGCTAATCACAACGACGCGCCCAATACTACAATACTATTTAAGAGAGAGGTTGGTTAAATATAAACTAAGACATGCGAAAATATCTTATATATTGTTGGGAGACATTTGAAACATTACAATAGTCAGAAAGGTATGTCGGACATAAATCATGACAACTTTTTACAACATCGTCAAGTGATAATTGTACAAAATAAGAAAATACGAGCACTTTCGTATAGAGAATGTACTGTGAAGGTTAATGAAACCTCGGGTATCTATGATAATACTCGCCATGACAACACACATGTGTTTAAGTTGGTTTTCAATGCGAGTGTTGCAGGTGCAACTAACTGACCCCTGGTGTACGCAAAGGAAAAAGTAAGAAGATTGTAATAAATTTAGATATTGGTAAAGCAGGGGACGGGGAGACTAAAGAAGTGTTTTTTTGTTTGTTTTAGAGAAAAAACAGGCAAAGCAGGGGATGGGGAGACTAAAGTTAAGTTGTTTTTT